AATCCGGTCTCGATACACTTTCGTATATCTCAAATGTGGCTGGACAAGCAACACAAATGTATTTTTGATGGTCTTAAGGCACCTTCATAGATACATTCAATGGCGCAATGTATTCCTCTTGTAATGACGGATCGATTAGCACTAACTAACGTAATGACGGATCGATTGGCCTGACTAACAGTGCTTAGTAGCGCCATCAAGCAGATGAAAAGTGCAATTCGGACAAAAGCATCACACGTGCGTGTTAAATGATTTTTTTAGACAGCTGAATGCGGTTCTTTCAGGGCATGCATAGCGTGCTCAAAGTGCAATTCTTAGCACTAGTGCTAAAATCAGATGATGCTCAAGTGTTCATATAAATATGTGAATGCAACAAAGAAAACAAAATACTTTCATCTACCCCAGTCAATACTACATCTGTCAGTTACTACTGACTTTAAGTTATTTATATACGTGAATGAATTTAAACTAAAAGTGAGTAAAGCTGTTTGACGCACGTGGAGTGAGCTACATTGTGTATGACACACGTGGTAAAAGTGATTTTATTTTGATCGTCGAGTTGGGCCAGTCGACCAATTGGCCTCGTGTCGCAACATTTCCTACTCGCAAAATAAAATGTCACTTTTACGACTCATGTCATAAATAACAATTTCCGATTCTGCCATTCTGTCTCTCTAGAACCAAGAACAACTTCAACAATAGTAGTTATTATTGATAACAATTGTAGTTAGGTTAACCAACTACAACAATTACTGGAGTTGGTCTACATAAAAAAAATTGGTTCGCTTGGCCACGAGGTCCGTGCTGACATTCCCTGCTTAAAAGAATAGACGAATCCGTTTAAATATTTCTTAACACAATCGAGGAAAATCGTATTTTGAGAGTTGCGAATCGCTGCGAATTACAATACTAAATTTCCGCGCTAACAAGAATTGTTACTAATTCTACCGTTTGATTGACGGTAATTATATATAATTTTATACATAACCTAAGAAATGAAGTATTTCTATGAATAATTTTCTCACGTAACTTTCTAAGCGCATTGAAATTATTGAAATAATTTTTCCAACGGTACGTAGTGGGAGTCAAAACATTTTGGATAGCGGCGGACGTCCGTGTGATGCGAAATTCGGAAATACCCAACAACCCGTGTCGGAAAATGGGCGACTGGATAAAGTTTTAGAACTTTATCAATTATTATATTATATATTATATATTATATATTATATATTATATATTTTATATTATCAATACTTGGAGCGATATATGTAACATTCTGCCACAAACCGCACTATTCTCAACAGGCTTTGTGTTTAGAACATTTTCAAATGTCACTACATTCTTTCAAATTTTCTTACAGTTTTGAAATTAGTCATTCCTTGTTTCCGTCTAACATATGAACACATTTAGGCAGTTATTGTCTATGGATCGTAAAATGTTGACTGCGCTTTGCAAAGTTGCATTTTATTTCGTGATGCAATATTGCAATATTTAAAAGCAAAGAAATCTTGTGTGAAATGATTGATTGGAGTATCGCGAATCTTTTATAGGTTGACGAATATACGTTTTGATTGTTAAATTTTAAACATTATCTTGAATCTACACTTCCGAATGTCGTTTATACACACATTGTAATCTGTTTATTTGGTGTTTCTTATTTTAGATTTGCATTGGCTTATGGTGAGAAACAACTGAGCGTCGTTGCTTAGAGCGTATTGCGCTGACTTCGCATTCGGGAGGCCCGGGATCAATTTTCGTGCCAGCCATCCTGATCAGGTTTTTTCTGTTTTCCTCGATCAGCCAGGCGAATGCATGGAGGGCTCTACTAAAAGACCACGACCGCAAAACCGGCGTCGCTAGCCGAATTCGTTAACAACGTGAAATCAGGAAGGTTAAGCGAATTCGAGACACCACGGGTTCCTCGTTGGGTGACAGTCCAGAAACCCACTGTATCTAACGGCGCCGAGGCCAATTGGCCTTTACGGGACTTATAATGGCTAAATAAAATAACAAATGGAGTGGGACAAACATCGCTAAGCACACAAGACTAAATATCATGCATGACGCAATACAGCAGTGGCTTCGGACGGTCTACTCAAGAAAACGCCGACGCTCGAAATATTAAGAAAAACGTTCTCTAATGTGTTGGAAGAAAGTTAGTTTCGCTTCATTGGAGGCGGTCTGCAGCAGCATCGGCAAAATTTGCTACCCGCTGACCAACAATGTCTCATAGGTTAATCTCAGGTTTTAAAATCTCCAATTTTAGGCGCCCGAAATTGGCTCATAATCACAAAACGAGGCTGTATAATTTAAGACGAAAATAACTAATACTTATACTTTATTTTACGTCTAATTGTTTTATTAAAAAAATGTAAACGAAATATTGAAACGATCACAGATAGAAATGTAAGTGCTAAATCATGTATGAAATTTTTCACTTCGAATTATTTTATACACAATTTTTTTTAATTATTTTCCTGCTTGTATGTTTTAGTTTTAGAAATATATTAGAAATATTCCCAGGGGCAGTAGAGGAAAACGTTGATAAACAAGGTAGAACTCAAAATAAAAGTAAATAAGCAACTAATCAGTGATAATACGTAAGGAACAGAACGTCCTGAGTTCAAACGTTACGAAAATTGTTCAGAACTTTGATTTTGCATTGCTTTGAAATTTGATTAAATAATCTGTATAAATCACAGAAATAGCACTGAAGACAGATCTGTAGGGGCGTAAAAGTGCTAGAGAATGAAAGGTCATAATATGAAAACTACACAAAATCTAACGGATTATGAGAAATGGTTTCGACATTGTTTAAGCATAGAACCCCTAGTTATGACAATACATGCATAGGCAACGTAACATGCAATGAATATACATCTACAAAGAAGTAAACAAACAAACAGGTCACAAATCACAATATGAAACCTAGAAAAACAAAGTGAGATGAAATGCCAGAAACATTAAAGGCAATGCTGCGGCATATAACCCTAGTTATGACAATACATTGAACAATGTAGATAGATCCACCGAAAACAATTTTAATTTTCAAGTGGGGCAATAAGCACCATAAGCACAGCAACAACAGTCAGAGGGGACTATAATAAACGACTGGTCTAGTGTGTTTCAATACAAAAAGCACCTTAAGTAATTGTGGAAAACACGCACTGAATGCAGATATGCAGAGAGCGATAGTCTATGCGCCATTGCTTGAAAAATAGACCAAAAAAATTATATTATTTACAAACACATTTGAGATATTATTTTGACATAAACATCAAGTTATGATAATAAATTATGTAGGGAAGAGTTAAGCTACTTCTACAACGATAATAAAAGTAAACAAAAAACCAATGAAATGAAAACAAGATAAACAAAAAGTGAAAATTTCGAGAAACTTTCATCGCATTGTTATGTTAATGTATTGATTATCTTGATAGATCTCTGAACAGACTGAAGACAGATCTGCAGACAACTAGAAACCATAAAATGTCATAACGTGACAGATCCGCTCTTAAAACATTATTTTCAAGCCAACTCACCAGGTGGAACAATGACCATGAGAAATGCAGCCATAACAGGCAGCATAATTATAATATATGACCGAAACGTATTTTGTCACAATATTAAAACTACATTAACTAATAGTGAGAAAAACTCACACTGAAGTCTGATCTGGGGGAGCGAGGAACTATTCGTCATTATATGAAAAATAGACCAATAAAATTAGATGATTTACAGAAAATAATTGGAACGCCTTTTTACACAGACTCCTAGTTATGACAACACATTAGACAGAAAATAGATCAAGTAAAGTTAAATCGACAAAGACAAATTAAACAAACCAATAACAATATGAAAACAAGGTAAACAAAAATTAAATATTAATAATACATATTCAGTATTGAAACGTAAATTCATTGAAGAACGGGAGACATCAAGGAACATCCGCTGAAGACTGATCTTCAGTCAGATCTGCTAACATCCGCCTCCAAAAAACATTATTTTCAGTCCGACTCACCAGGTGGAGCAACAAGCATCAGGTACCCAGTAACGACTGACATCAAAGAGTGTAATATACGGCAGAGGATTAACACGTGACAATACGAAAACTGCATTAATTAAAAGTGGCGATACATATACTAAAGACATCTGCAGAGATCGATGGTCTATCCATTATATGAAAAATATGATGAGATGATTTACAAAAAAATATTTGGACCATTGTTTGACATAGACACATAGTTATGAGAATACGTTTGACTTACCGCAGAACACACAGTCAATCTAAATTTAAAAATAAAATAATAAAATAAACAAACAAACCAATCATTATATGCAAACAAAATAAAGGTGAATTAAAGGTTAGAAACAATGCTATGTTTATACATGGATAATCTGGTTATATTACTGCACAGCCACTGAAGACATCTCCAGAGAGTCAGAAATGACATGATGTCATAACGATGGTATATCCCCCGCCAACAAATTTTATGTTCAATCCCACTCACCATGTGGAGAAACGAGCATCAGGAACACAGAGACGACGGACAGCAACGACAGTGCAAAGACTGTAATATACGGCTAATTCTTAATGCGTGACAATATGAAAACTGCATTAACTATAAGTGACAACACACACACATCTAAAGTAAGATGTTCACAATTCAATGGTCGTGGTTATTACATAAATTGATGATATAAAAAATAGACAACAAAATGAGATGATTTACAAAAAATATTTGGAACATTTTTTGTCATAGGCATCTAGTTTTGACAATACATTTGACAGACTATAAAACACTCAGTGAATCTAAATCTATAAAAACAATAACAGCAAACAAACAAACCATTCACAATACGCAAACAAAATAAAGACGAATTAACGGTTAAAAACAATACATTGATAATCTGGTTATATGACAGCATAGCAAATGAAGACAGATGTCCAAAGAGCTAAAAATGACACGATGACAGATCTCTCACCGAAAACATAATGTTCAATCCCACTTATCAGGTGGAATAACAAGAATCAAGAACACAGCGACGATAGACAGCAAAGACTGTAATATACGTCTAAAGCGTAATGCGTGACAGTACGAAAACTGCATTAACAACAAGTGGCAACACACACATCTAAAGCCAGATCACTCACCAGGTGGAGCAACGAGCATCAGGAACACGGCGACGACAGACAGCGACGGCGTGGAGCAGCGCCTCGTGCTGGGCGTCATGGTTGCCATAGCGGCTGCGCGTCGGCGGAGGCTGCGTCGGCGGCGATGGCGGCGGCGGCGGCGGCGGCGGCGGCGGAGCGGCCGACTGCGTGGGGCGCGCTGCTCTCCAACGCGACCGTGCTGAGCCCCGGGCGGTAGCCGAAGCTCTGGCGACGGCTGCGGCGGAGGCGGCGCAGGCGGCGAAGGGGGCTCGCCCCGAGCAGCGGCGGCGGTGGAGGCGGCGGCGGCGGCGGTGCGTCACGTGCGCAAGGCGGGTGGCGCCGCACAGTGGTCGGAAACCCGGCGACCGTGTCCGTGTGGTCGAAACATCGACGGGTTGAGAACGCGTGAACAGTTCGTATCTTCCCGGATGACCGGGAGACGCGGCGTGCTATTCTGCGATTTATGCCTCTTTGCCCCTGGCGGGAATCAGCTGTTGACGGTTTTATCCCATAGGGAGATTGAACGTCACCGTAGTGACGTCATTGTTGTGACGTTCAAGCTCCCGATTGGATGAAACTGTGAACAGCTGATACCTGCTAGGGGCAGAATAGGAAAATCAGAGTACAGACACTGATGCAAACGTTTTGACAGTCGTGCGGCGGCCTTCTTCAGGGCGAAATGGTAGCATCGGTGCCTGGAACGCTGGCCGCCATATTCCATGGAAAACGAATGTTGGAAAACATTTTGAAAGAGGCATTAGTGACAATTTTTAACGATGGCCAATCAAAAGTAACACAATATAATTGAAATAAAAGGTAAAATATTTTTAAGGCTTCATGTATGTTTTAATGACTTGCAACAATGTGATAATTTTGATACCTGCCTGCATTTAAAATTCCTAGTTTGAATCTGTAAAATTTCTTGTATCTACTCGGCTGTCCAAAGCACAGCTGCCATTTCGGCCGTCATGCAGTGGCCTTCTTCAGGGTGAAATGCCATCTGTGCCTAGGGCACGGCGACTACCGGGCGGTCACGAAGATACTGCTAAGGCCGCGGTTTCGTACGCTTTCATGTGAAGAGCTTCTTTCCGATGTGATGGTGGGGCAGAGGTACCGCAGGGAAACTACTGTTGCCACCAAAGCAACTCTGGCGAGGAGGTCCTACAGTACCTGCAGCGTTTAAGCGCCTCTAACACTTCGATACACTGTTGCGACACATCACTACGCACATGTCACCACCTACACGTCGGATAAATTAAATATCAAAGCATTAATACTTGATATCAGGACTTGTCGTAGCCTGTCAAGTTCATAACCTTCACCATAACCGTACCTTATCGCCTCCGTGACTTTATGTGAATCCGATGAGCGACAACACTGAACGCTGGCTGTGAGAAAGTAAACAAATCCTCGCAAGCTTATTGCTTCAGAGTAGATCACGTGGCGTGCCAGAGTTCTGGGCGAGAGAACTGTCAGAGTCGGTTTTACGCTACCGGATCTGTAGGGTTCCGACAGAGGCGGATTTTCGGCACTAGCTATATATTTATTTTTTTAAATAGGTAATTATTACAAACAAATTAGATTACTTGATCCTATGTGGCTAGGCTGAAGGCCTTTAAGCCATTACTATACCTACATCCTTTCGCGTTCTAATCTTTCGAATTCTGGTATTCACTCCAAATGGTCTCTCCATCGCATCAAAGCCGCGGAAAAGACAATAAGGTACGGCTCAGGAAAAAACCCCTGAAAGGGGAAAATCCTGCCGTCAGAAGCCGAGTACATTCTAATCTATCCGACGTTTATTTTAACTATTTATTTTCTGGCGCGGGCGTCCCGCCGTCTCCTTCCAGTGCTTGGCCTCCTCAGCACCTAAAATCAAACGGCGCCACAGAAGATCGTCCGCACCAACGCCTCTGCCCTTACATTTTCGATCCCCCCTTCCCTTCACCCCCTAATGTGCTTATTACTATGCCAGTTTTATTTTATTTATTATATTGACCTGTTACGTACCAATTGACTACGACTTATGACTTATTTCTTAACTGTTTCCTAACTTAACATAAAATTACTGATTAACTTACTTATTGTTAGCTTATTGACTCATTAATTTCTCTCCAGTCTAGGCTCCGCTCACTAGCTATATAACTAAGTGGAAGCCCGAGTGTGTCAACGAGAATTCAAGAGGCCGGCTGCTCTAGTCGGTAATTTCCCGTGGTTTTCCTTGCAGCGATTCTGAACGGGGGGTCCTAGTGTTCGAGTGCCGACGATGACGAATTTTCGACACTATCTATATATATATAGTAGGTCCAATTCTTCCGTTCTCTGCATGAGAGTTCTGGCGGCAAACAGCTCTCAGCAGAAGTTCTCCGTGGTTATTCCAAATCAATACCGGGAAAATGCCGGAACAGTTTCCTATCAAACGGGCTAGAGACCGTGTGCGATCTTTCCTTTCTCTTTCCTGTCCTTTCCTCAGCTTGTTCTTACAAACACTTACTAATACCTGCACTACACTACCACACGCCGGTAGACCAGTCGGGAGCATCGAGTTTGTGCTGGTTGGAGCGGTGCCCATCTGGCAGAAATAACTGATGATACCCGGAAGCTGATGTATAGGTCGCCGATGTATATCGAGTTCTTGCGGAGTAGAAACATCACGACTTCCCAGGACATACTTGTATTGCACCTGTGGTCCGTAGAACTTGACTTGCAGGGAATCATAAATCAATTAATTAACCAATCAATCCAAAGTGACGTATCGCCTTGAATCATAATATTTCAGGGAGGGAAGTAATCACATTTTTTCTTATAATTCAATATAGAATTTCGAGTACCGTTTAGCATGAGCAAGAAACTATTTTTCAAGGCAATAATTTTTAATTAAGCATAAATAATAATACTTAAGTGGTAGTTACGCAAGACTAGCGCCATCGATATATTGGTGTAGAATGTGTTCGAAATGTTATTTTATTAACAGTTAACGAAAATAATGATTTATTGCTAACAGTTGAAGCCAAAAATTGGAGCCTCGCCGTTGACTTGGAAATGCGTGCGGAAACAAAGTCACATTGGTCCTATCAAAGTGATGATTGTTTAACTAATCTAACTTTACCCAATTACCTTCAACACATAGAACTTTTTGAATCACTGCTCATTATACAACTCATTCCATACGTGTTTCATTTGTCCATTAGCTGTTTGACGGAAAACATTCTCGCCATCGAGGCAATTCCGAGTTATTGTGGTTAGACCATTTGCCTCCCACTGTGTCAGGCTTTAAATCGCGCATTTTTGGGGGGATGTACCAGTTTCCTCTGTCTCTTATTCCCCATTTTTAGCTTTCTTTTTTTCTGTAGCTTTCTCCATTTCCAGGGGAAGCCGATTTCGACTGTCGGCACCGGGTACCCACAATGTCCCTCGTGGGGACACATACACTATGTGATCAAAAGTATCCGGTCACGTGACTGAAAATGACTTAACCAATTCGAGGCGCTCTCCATCGGTAATGCTGGAATTCAATTGTGTGTTGTACCACCCTTACCCTTGATGACAGCACCCACTTTCGCAGGCATACTTACAATCAGGTGCTGGAAGGCTTCCTGGGGAATGACAGACAATTCTTCACAGAGTTCAGCATTTAGGTGAGGTGTCGATGTAGGTAGGTAAGGCCTGACACGAAGTCGGCGCTCCAAAACATTCCAAAGATGTTCGATACTACTAAAGACAGGTCTCTGTGCAGGCCAGTCCATTACAGGAATGTTATTGTCGTTTAACCACTCCTCCACAGGCCGTGCAGTATGAATAGGTACTCGATCGTGTTGAAAGATGCAGTCACCAACTCCGAATTGCTCTTCAACAGTGGGAAGCAAGAAGGTGTTTAAAACATCAACGTAGACCTGTGCCGTGATATTGCCACACAAAACAACAAGGGATGCAAACCCCCTCCATGAAAAACACGACCACACCATAACCCCATTTTGGACATGTCCGGATACGTTTGATCACATAGTGTAAGTTTGTTTGTATGAAATTTTTCAACATATATTATTTGTCACAAGTCTATCATCTTCGATCCCCTTATGTGCCCTGGAAGTTTTTATGAAGTCATTTGACATTTTATGGTCGAATAAATCCAAATTTGTCAACTAGCGGTGTACCCAGGACTGGGCCTGTTTTTTTTTTATAATTCATTTCTGAAAAAAGAGAGACATGTGGTGAGTGTATCTAGAATACTTGGCCAGCCTATACCCAGCTATACAAACTGAAACCGATTATACCACGGAAAGCTAGCAGGATTTTCATGAACCACCCGAGTTCCATTGAGTTTTTTACATTTGTTTCTGGGCTGCGTTATTTAGGGTATTTTTCTGGCTTCTGTCCGAAATTCATATGGAAATTACTGTTCAGTCTGAATATATTTATCGCCCAGCTAGTAATCGCTTTCGATCCAGCCATTCAGAAACAGTGAAAGTTCTCGTACTCTTTGGATCATGTGGCTCAAAAGTGTAGGCACTTTAGTGCATGGAGCAATTACCAGCGGTCCAATAATGACAATTTTGAATATTGAATAATTAAGATTTTTAATGAGAAATTGCTTCTTTAATTATGGTTAGTTATGTTATGAGGGTGGACTTTCACAATATTTCTGCAGCCTTCACTTACGAAATCTATACTAACATGTAAAGTTTATTTACTATTTCTTTGACGTTCGAATTATATGTGATGGGTGCCCTTCCAAAGCGAAATTCATTGAGACGTATTGAGTGATCTAATCCAAAGCAGATGATAGCAGAAATGATGAGGTGAATAATGATGTAGAAATTATGGGTGAAATCCTTGACGAAGTGCACCGAGATCACGCATTGCCCACAGCAAATTCCTCATTGATTGGCCAGGAATCGAACCCGAAGCTGAACGGTGAGAGACGTATGACATAAGCGTGACGTCATGAGCTTCCTTCCTCTCCTTCCCAATCCCCACCCCTCAAAAGTATATAAAACAAGTACCCCTTGCGAGAACTCTCGCATGTTAAACGCCAACCTCTCTCCTATCCTTCCATTTCCATGTTAAGACCATAATATATTCTATTTTTTCGTTATAGTTTTTTATTGCCTTCGTTATGGCGCTCGATATACACTGCATAACTTACTTGGGTTGCCAAGATCGTGGTTACGAGGGAAATATGAAAACAGTTGAATGATGATAAACGTTCTCTTATGGAGTGAATTGTGAATGGGAATGAAAGGAAATATTAAAAGACAAATCGAGTCAAATTAACAT